CATTTTCAAAATGGTTTATGTGCACTGAGCTTCTGTTCTGTTACAGCTTTCAACCAGTTTTTGATCACTTAAACTGGTTTATGTGTAATGTCTGTCCCTAGCCTCTCTGTGAGGAATGCCAGGCTGAGGTGTCATAGGCAACTTAATTTTGATATGTTAAAAATAAAGCCCAAACTTCTCCCAGTCCCCTTGTCCTTGGATCTGTGCATGTCTTAGTTAGTTAGAGGAACTTTACTGCAGTGGGATTTAGTCTCCTTAAGTTTTGCTGCTGCTAAGTAGCACAGGCCCAAGTCTGGCTGCTTCAGTGCCTGAAGGAAGCCATCTCAGAGACGGCTCACAGCACCATGACTGTTCTGCTTAACCGGTATTATTGGATTCATGCTTTCCTGGGAGAAGGTTAGTATCCACTGTCTAGGGTGACTGTATGCTTGTTTTTTTTTTTTTCTGGGATGGTTGCATTTTAAACTTACCCCAGGCATCCCATTGGTTTTTCATAGATTTCATAGACATTAGGACTGGAAAGGACCTCGGAAGATCATAGAGTTCAGCTCCCTGCCCCAGGGGCATGAAGTCACCAGGGATCATAGGATCCCAGCAAGATAAATATCCAAATGTCTCTTGAACGTGTTCAATGTAGGTGCTTGAATCACCTGCGGTGGCAGTCTATTCCGAACCTCGAGGGCTTGGACAGTAAAGAAGTTCTTCCTTATGTCCAGCCTGAAATGATCATGGAGGAGTTTGTGACTGTTTGACCTTGTCATCCCTTGGGGCGCTCTGGTGAACAGACATTCCCCCAGATCCTGATGAGCACCCCTGATAAACTTATAGGTGGCCACCAGATCACCCTGGAGCCTGCGCTTTTCCAAGCTAAAGAGCCCCATGTCTCTCAGCCTGTCGTCGTAAGGTCTGTTTTCCTGACCTCTGATCATGCACGTGGCTCTTCTCTGGACTCTCTCAAGCTTCTCCACATCCTTTTTGAATTGTGGAGCCCAAAACTGGATGCAGTACTCCAGCTGCAGCCTCACCAAGGCCGAGTACAAGGGGGGAATGATGTCCTGGGATTCGCTTGAGAAACATCTATGGATGCAAGCTAGTGCTTTGGTTGCTATACTAGCTGCAGCATCGCGTTGAAGGCTTATGTTCATCTTGTGGTCAATGATGACCCCCAAGTCCCTTTCGTCCATAGTGCTAGGCTCAGCGGTGCTACGCTGGCTATAAGCATGCTGCAGGTTTTTCTTCCCAAGGTGGAGAACCTTGCATTTTTCAGTGTTGAACACCATCAGGTTCTCGTCTGCCCATTTCCTGAGCCTGTCAAGGTCTGCCTGGATTGCCCTCCTGTCTTCTGGTGTGGATGCCTTACCCCAGAGTTTGGTGTCATCGGCAAACTTGGCCAATCTGCTTCTGATACCAATGTCCACATCATTAATGAAGATGTTAAATAATATGGGCCCAAGGACAGAGCCTTAAGGGACTCCAATGGTGACAGAGCACCAAGACAATTGACTTCCATCAACCACCTCCCTCTGGGTCCGACCACAGAGCCAATTCCCCAGCCAGTGGATCATGGTGAAGCTGAGGCCGCAGTTAGCCAGTTTTGCTAAAAGGTGATCGTGGGATGCCAGATTGAAGGCTTTTTTTAAAGTCAAGATATACAACATCAATTTCTTCTCCCTTGTCCAGGTGATAGGTCACGTGGTTGTAGAAGGAAATAAGATTGCTGCTGGTAGGTCTTGCTTGATCAAACCCCTGCTGGCTGTCCCTCAGGATGTTGCCACTAGCCAGTCAGTTAAGAATGGTCTCTTTGGTAATCTTTTCTAAGACCTTCCCTGGGATAGAGGTCAGGTTGATGGGCCTATAGTTTGCCAGATCCACTTTCCTCCCTTTCTTGATCATAGGCACCACATTGGCCTTCTTCCAATATTTGGGCACTACACCAGAGCACCAGGAGTTCTCGAAGCCCAGCCCCTGGCATGGATCTATGATGCTAGTCAGCAGCTTGAGTACCCTTGGGTGTAAACTGTCGGGGCCAGCTGACTTGAAGGTATCCAGCCTGTCACGAGGTCAGCATTGATGGAGGGTAAGGAATCTCCCTCACCCGGGCATACCTGTCCTGTAATGGGCAGGGGTGTCCCATGGGACTGGGTAATTTGCATCGGTCTTTCACCATTTAGCAAGTTGGCTTTTTCCTGGGTGCCAGTTGTCAGCTGTTCCATCTGGTTCAGCAGGGGTCCAACGTTGCCCTTGCTTTTCCTCTGGCTCCCCACATATCTATAAAAAAAAAAAAAAAAAAAAAAAAAAAAAAGGACTTTTTATTGTCCTTGATACTTGTAGCTAAGTGGAGTTCTGTCACAGCCTTGGCTTTCCTGGTTTGCTGTCTGCAGGTTCGGACCAGTGCAGAGTATTCTTCCTTGGAGATGGATCCAATCCTCCATCCTTTGTAGGTCTTCCTTTTTAGATGCAGGAGGTCTGCTAGTTCCCTGCAGAGAG